AAGCATGTGCCAACATGAAATATTTGACATTCTTAAGTTTTATATATATGATGATTGGACTCAAGGTGCCTTCTATATAATGATATCATTATTGAAATGAATCCATGATTGCAAGGAACTCTTTATTGTGGATCTCATAATTAAACTTGACTGCTAAAAATTATCTAGAATAGAAAGCTACTCGATAGAATTTATTATTTTCTTCTATTTATAATAATATTGTATCTAACACAAAGTCTAATGTATCTATTTCCATAAAAATGCTTTAGAGAAGTACATCTATATCTAAGGAAATAATCTCATACAAAATATCTCTAGAAGATAACAAATGACTATCTATGATTTCTACATGTACAAATTTAGTTTATTTGGCCAACGATATCTCTTATTTTTTGACAAAATATTTATCTATAAAATAGATTGAGGCTTATAAATCTAATAAAATTAAGACTTTGTGATTTTTTGGTCCTAAATAAACTTCTATTATAAAACAAGGTGAAAGATCTAAGGGAAGAACAGGACTTTTATTAAGAATTATGTAAGATTCTAACCGCATAGTTCCTATTGTAATTGAAAAAAATTATTTTTTGACACCTTGTCTTCTTTGGCAACCATGCTTTTCATTTTGTGATTACATTATTTTCTTAAACAATGTTGAATAGTGTGTTTAGTTTCTCTATAATATAAGCATAAGCTCTCTTGACATTGTTGAGTTTTTTCTTGCTTTGTAAGGAGTTTAAAATATACAGTATCAATTTGTATTGACTTTTGTCTTGATGAATGAGTTTCTAAAAACTTGGGAGTTTTTGTCATTATTTCATTTTTTCTTCTCTAGCCAAATCTTTATTCTTGATGTCTTTCAAATAATTGATTACTAGATGCAATAGTTTGAGTGATAAATTATTTCAAAGATTTTTCCTTTAGCATTGCCAATAACAAATCTTTAACATTATCTTTCAATCCATATCAAAATTGATTGATAAGTTCTTTATTATTTTAGTCCACGTTACAAGCTAGATTTTAAAATTCAAGAGCATATATTGAAACAAGACTAGACTATCTCAAAAATCTAAGATCTTTCTATTCTATAGCAATATAAAATCTCGTCACAAAATAGGACAAAATACACGAGAACAGAAGTGAATAGAACTACTTAGAAAAAGACATGAAAGACAATTAAGTAGACGAAAATAGAACAGAATAAAATTGAACAAAAAGATGCAAAATTCAACTTTACTAAGAAAAAGGATCTAAAGCCATACTTGACTAGATGTCTAAAAAGGCCCTAATCAATTCTATTTATATCTTATCCTACCACCTTAGAATTTCTAGATAGTTCCTAAGTAGTAGGTCTTACATAAATAACTGCCTTAAATTCTTCTACAATATTCAATGGAAGGTCCTATCTGATCCATTAATTTAATTCTAATTTTAAAAACTTCCATGGTTCTAACTATCTATATAATTATTTTTTTTATACCTTGTTACATATATGGTAGCTAACCGTGATCCTTGTCATAAAAATAAGAGCTTGGTCTCTACTACTATTTTTTGATCATTTTTTTTAAATGTCACCATAAACACTTCTAGGAATGGATTCAAATCATAAAAGAGTCATGAATCCTTTTCCATTAAAGGTGCAAATCAAAAAAGAGCACTTCCTGATAGAAATGCGCTCATGAATCCAACTTAAGTGAATCCATTCAAATATTGGAAGGGATGTAATCTTAGATAGAGCTTAACTTGTTGCAAAAATCCTTGAAATTTTGATCTTGTTCTATCAAACTTCTCAAGCATATTAATCTTTTTCTTTATCATACTTCTAGAAGCAAAATTCACTAGATTTGGTAGCAAGGTTGATCTATTTACTTCCTAGAACTATACAACTTCTTGTCATAGAATCTAAACTTCTTCCATAGGACTAGACATAGTACCTCCATGATTCATATTGAAAATACATGAAATTTTTACTCTTAGAGTATTAGCAAAGCTCTTGAAGATCTGTAATAGTTGCAAATCTATTCTCACTTTTGCCATAATCTTTTCTTCCATAGACAACTCAATTTAATTCAAAAAGTTAAATTAGAGGAGGATAATCCACAATCTTTAATACAAAATAAAAATTTCCATAAAGAGAGAGAATCTACTCTCTTTTAGGAAAATATTAGTATTAGAAAATAATTTGTTTTTAAAGGTGGATACTTTGCAACCTTCAAAATACATTAATAGAAGTGGGATAATCCACTCACTTCAAAAATAAGATAAAAACAGTAAGTTAGTATTCTTATAAAATTGTCAAGGACATAAATCTCAAAGAAAAAAATCTTCAATATACTCTTATAATATTAAAAAGAACTAAAAAGTCACTCAAAGATGATATATTATTGAACTATAATAGCTATTGCCAAAAACAAGAAGACTAGAAAGTCTTAAAACAAGACTAAGGACTAGAAAAGCATTAACAAGAGTTAAGAAGGCTTCACTCTTGCCTCCATATATACTTTTAACTAGGAACTACATGGCAATTTCATATAGGACTTCCAAAATGTGTTTACTTTGTAAGACATGTATCTTAACTTGCAAGGCAAGTTTTTTATATGCGCGCCACATAATTAGCTTGTTTCGTAAGCTATCAACTCATGAATAACTTGTTGACAAAGTTTTTAACCTATTAATCAATTACAAACACATATAGAGTCAAAGTAACATCTATGAAGCTTCTAAGAAGCTTTTCTTGAAGGTATTATGAAATTAATCTACTTTTATCTATTTTTATCTTCTCATATAAGTATTTACTAGAGTATCTATATATATCTATGATACAAGCTCATAAAGATCTATATTAGTTGTAAATCTATTTTTATTTTTACTAAAAATAGCATCCATAATTTTTTCTTTCATAGACATTTCAAATAAATTCATAAGTCAAATTAGACAAGGACAATTTGTAATTTTTTATACAAAATGAAAAATTTCTACAAAGAAGAGTAGTCCACTTTCTTTAAAGAAATCAATCAATGTTTAAAAAACTCAAATTTAATTTAAAGATGGATAATCTGCAATCTTCATAACACAACAATACAAGTGGGATAATTCCTTCACTTTTTTAAAAAATCAAGAACAATAAGTTAATACTCTTATTAAACTATCAAGGACATAAATTTCAAAAAACTAAAAGATCAATAAATGCTTGTGTCATTCAAACAAACTTAAAAATCACTCAATGATGGTATAAAATTGGACTAAAATAACTATTGACAAAGACAAGAAGAGTTAAAAGTCTTGAAATAAGACTAAAGACTAGAAAGGCATTGGTAAGAGTGAAGAATGCTTTACTCTTGCTTCTATATATACTATCTAATTAAAAGGTATGCGGCAATGTTCTATAAGACTTCTAATACATGTCTAATTTGCAAGACACATGTCTTAACTTGCAAGGCAAGTTTCTTATATGCACACCACATCTTTAGTTTGTACCACAAGCTATCCACACATGTGACAGATGACTAATTTGTTGGTTAAATATTTAAACTATCAATCAATTATAAAGTCAAATACATGTCTATGAAGCTTTTAAGAAGCTTTGCCTTAAGACAATATCAAATCTACCTACATTTATTTTCCATCTAATACTTCTTATCCAAGTAAATATATATGTCTATGACAAACATGTGTTGGAGGTCATATAGAACGTTGTCACATAGTTCTTAGTTAGATAGTATATTTGGAGGCAAGAATGAAGCCTTCTTCATTCTTGTCAATGCCTTTTTAGTCTTTCATCTTATTTCAAGGCTTTCTAATCTTCTTGTTTTTTGGCAATAGCCATTCTTATTTCAATACTATATTAATGTTGAGTGAATATCTACTTGTTTCAAGTGGCACAAGAGTGTATTGAGTTTTTTTTTTTTTTTTTTTTTTTTTTTTTCTTTGATATTTTAATCCTTTATACATTTAAAAAAAATAAAAAAATAAAAAAATAAATTTAATAAAAGGATTTTTTGAATAAATAATATGTATATTAATTGCTTATATATCAACAACCATTGAAATTGTAATATAAAATATGAATTAGGAAAGACTTGACAATAAATTCATAGGAATGATTTACAATGGTCTTATTTAAGTAAATATGTTTTTATGTGATTACTTTTTAAGATTATTATTTTAATTAGAGTTTAAATGTACATTTTAAAAATATCCAAAATATGTTGGTACCTTTTAATGTTGGTTTTTGAGATTGATTAAAATAAGTGACAATTTTTTTATATAAATACACATGTCTAAAAATAATAAAATTCTTAGATTTACAAAGACTTCTATAAAATTTGTCTTGATACTTTTATTTGTGTGTAAAAATTTGACCATGGACATAAGTTTATTAAATTGAAATAGCTCTAAAGTTGAATTGAATGCAGTTTCATAGTTACATGTCTTTATGTATTTTAAAATATTATAAAGCAATTAGTCAAAAATATATCTGCATAACTCATTTTCAACTATATAATCAATCAAGATTTTGCAATGGTTTTAAAAGTTAAATTAAAATTTCAATCACTTAAAAACACAAAATCAGGTACTTGAAACATACAAAACTATTTGTATATGTGAATTATATATATATATATATATATATATATATTTGTGTGTGTATTTTTAGTTATTTTCACACCTACAGACGTGTGCATGCATATATACAGCAGGATTTTATAAATAATCATTGAAGTAATATAGACCTGAGCTTCAGTGCAAATCTAAAAAGACTTTTACAAGTAGTTGGATACATATACTTTAAAATCATGTTGAGTGATTGCAATTGTATAATATCAACTGATTTTACCATTTTGTTCAATTATCTAAAACCTGTGTGAATTCCATTCAAATTGGATCTCATTAATATTTTGAAACAAATAAACATGGTAACAAAAGATTCACAAGTGTACATACATCACCAATTTTAGGGTTTCCACATGGGAAGAATTCAAAGCCCCCAATGGATTCCAGACAAGACTCGAAGTCTCCCGGCCCTTGGACTTGGATTCAGAATGATTGCCCACGTTGCTGACGCATTTCACAGCCTTACTTACTTCTTCTACTGCTTCATAGACCCCTCAGATCACTCATTTTGTAGGATTCCTTGGAGTGGAGGTTGTTCATCTTCTGGTTTGTGATCTAGTTTTGTGAAAGTCCCAGTAGGATTTAGTAACTGGGTAGGTGTGGGTCGTTAAATATGGACTTAGGATTTTATCTTGCGGCCGAAGATGGTTACCTCTACGGGCGTTAGTTGTGGATGGTGCTGGGACCTTGTTTGACAGGGAGAACCTCCTCAGTACGCCTTCTGCATTTCTGTGGCGCTACTATGTAAACAGAGGCCTTCCCGAGGGTTATAACTGAATTATTTCGTGTAGGTACTATCATAGTTTGGTTGGGTAATGGAGTTTCCGTAATTTTTTTGTCATTTTCTTCCTACCTCTGCGATGCCCCGTTCCTGTCGACTGAGGTATTTGTATTTGGCAGGGCTTCGGAAGCAAGGCTAGATGAAGATGGAACACATAAAGCTGTTCTGGACTTCTTTGTCGAACAAACATGCACTACCAACTGACAGTCTTCTCTGCATCCTCACTTACGCTCTCTGAGTTTTGATAAAGATGACGGGAGTAGTATCCTTGGCTGGGTTCTACTCTAGCACTACGGAGCGACCTCGGTATCCAGGTGATGCGCTTGTGGCCGTAGAATCCTATGCAAACGTCAAAGATTGCCGAGCACATGTGGCGAATCCCTTGCACAGTCGTGTGCTGCGGATACGCCCATGAACTCGAGGTCGCATATTCCATTGCCCTAGGAAGTAACGTCGTTGCAATTACCCTCTGGGACACACCATGCCACCTACAGATTATACACAGATAATATAACATGAACGAGAGCAGAGAAGTCGATAATTAAACCATATTAGATACCATTTACCCGATCGTGGACACTTTCGGGTGTTGACGATCTGTTAAGTATAATGACCTCGACTCAGATTGTTTGTATTCTGTACATGAAGTTCAAGTCATTGATTTCCCCAAGAACTGATCTCTCGTCAGTTACAGGTAGATTACAGGCATCATTTCTAGGTGGTGAGCCACTGATTGTTTGATGGCAGCAGGTTCAATCCATGGTGCGATATCATACATCAGTGACTTGATTTTTGGATGCGTGGACTTACAGAGATATCTGTGCCAACTTCGTGAATGAGAGATTTCCTATCGCTGAGTCATGTTACGCCCTCAATAATCCAGATTTGATGGCGATTGAAATTCCTTACGAACGCATCTACCGTTGTCCATAGAACCGTTTCGCACTATTTTTAAGATTCTATTGTAACACATGATTCCACTGTTGATTAGAAAGAGTCGTCTACATTGACCACGCACCTTAGAGTATTTTTATACTGCCACTCATTGAGGCACAATAAACATGTCAAGCGGAGTAAGTGAACCGTCCGGAAGGAACTTGATCAAGCCTTCTAATCATCTCAAATGAACAATCTCAAACTGTGGATATGCACTTCCGAGAGAAATATTAGATATATATACATACATGGGGAAGGATCTGTCCAAATTGTTCAGGATCCCGCAACTACTGTTGAAGTACCTTGATACTTTCGATCAATGTTCATGTGAAAAGTATGGTGGAAAACGGTTCGGTATTAGCTACACCTACAAGTGTGGAATTTGATGTAGTGGGGGTGCGGGCACACTTAAGTAAAAACGATTTTATCACATCAATTCTATTTCTGTAAACCTACAAATCTTCTAACATTCAATCAGAGTGACCTGTCCCTTCGCTCGAAATCTGTTATAACCCTTTTAAATTGCATAAAATCGAAGCAGTACTATACTCTCTCTGATTCCATATTTCGTCTTTCACAAATGAGTCAACAGAAAGTAAGAAAAAAGCGCAGTTATTAAACACCCGATAAACTGAGAACAGGCTTTGTGGGGTCTAAGGCATAAAAATTCATTCAAATGAACGTGACAAACTTTAGAAGAATGTGCCAATGGAATGTGTTGCAAAAGTTTCACTTTGGTGTTCAGTGACAATCCTACATCCTTGTAAAATATGTATGTATACCCTGGACTTCTGAAAACACAGAAAATATCACGTGAAATGTATATTTTACGATTGTTGAGTAGATAAATGGAACTGACAACCGTGACTCTATGGGTGTCAAGAGCAAAATAATTCAGCTAAATTATGCCGTAATGTGAAACTTGTGTAAAAGATTTAAGAGAGTTGAGCTATTGGAAGAGCAGATAATTGATGTTATAGTTTCATACTGAATTGATTTTATAAATTCATGTTGAAAAACTTTAATTGTTTAACATTTTTTCTGATAATTAATCTACTCACCAAAACAAATCTTATAATTGAAATAAATTTTATCAATGTGATGTTAAAGTAATTTCTCACTGTATAAGCATCTCACCAAGGTTTATATTGCACTCTCTTTTTCTTCAAGGGAGAGACAATGTTGGATTTTCTTTTTACTGCAACTAATTTTGTTAATCGTTTTGACCTATAGTGCTTTTCTTTCAAAAGTGATTTTAATTTAAAAAAGAATATCAAGGATATAGACACATCAAATACAAACAACAAAATATCTCATCATCCTCCATTTTTCCTCCTTTCATTTCATTTCTCTTCTTTCCTTCTATTAATTACTATTTTAACATAAAAAAATAATAAAAACAGTAATAATAACAATTAGGACGAGAAGAATTATTTTTTTCAAAATTTTAAATAAATATTGTATTAAAAATGTGAAAGAGAACAATATAAATTGGAGAAAAATGAAGATATGTCTAGATGAGGTTTGTGGAAGTAAGAAAAGGAACTCAGAACAGTATTACAATAAAGAATTTTTAGGCACAATCTAGAAGTTACAAAAGATTTCTCACTTAGGACTACTTGGAGCTACTGATGAAGGGATTTGCCCAACGTTTCTTAAGATCTGTGTTAGAGTTGAGGAATTTGCACCAGAACAGGATGCTTTTCGAGCAGCTAAGATAGAATTCCCACAAGGTGGAGGTTTAGAGTTTGCTTTTGAAGATGTACAATACCAGCATGTTATGAAATTAGGAAATCTGGAATGTAGAGAAAAGTTTTAAGAATTCGGCTTCCTCCTTCTCTCTCGCACGTGCCAGCTCCTCGTTCAAATCTTTCGATATTGTCTGAAAATCTTCAGCATCTTCATTGTCTTCAGTGGTTACTTCTTGGGTTCCAGGGTCGGGACGTGAGAGCGTTGTTTTTTCATTTTCAAGCACCTCGAGACGTTGTTGCTCGCTTCGAAGGGTAACGTCGACCTTCTCCTCTTCTATGCGTTCACGATGGACCTGGTTGAGTAGGCGGTAATCAACGCCACACTGCTTGCACTCCTCTTGATCAGTGTGTGTTTTGCAATACCATATACCCTCACGAATGTGTACACCGTCAACCTCTTTACCTTCATCAGGATCCTGAGTTCATGTCATCAAGTTACATGAGCATTAACTGAAGTCCACATTGAAGAAGACACTGTAAGGCAATGAAAATACGTCAGGAGAAACTTCCAAGACTTTATCATATCTTTGCTTGGACAAAGCAGAAACTTAGGGGTAGCCTCGTCTTGACATCCGAATTCCTGCGTCTTACCTTCGAGAACTGCGTGTACACCTAACATGCAAATGTGAGAAATTGTCACATCCTCTGACTATTAGCATTAGCTACTTGAGGGACATGGAAATACTGAGAGCAAAAAACATGTTAAAAGATTGATATCATGTGAATACTCGAGAGTAAAAAGATTGATATCATGTGAAACGGTACCTTCGAATGAGATTCAATTTCTTCTGCTTCACGGTCAACGGTATCTAGGGCCTCCTTTACATTTGCTTTGAGATTATCAAGAGAGGACCGTTCTGACGAAGCGCCGTCCTCAGTTGCAAAGTTGGAGGAAGTCTTCGAGCTCATACCAGGTCTGTCTACCTCTCCTCTCTCAAGCATTTGCAACAGCGATTTGGCTTGCTCGTGCATGGTCACCACCTGAGGAAGTCGATAGAACCGGTCCATGATTCGTTCACACATGGACACACATTTCTTGAGCAAACTTCGTTTATCAACATCCATCTTGCTTTCGTAGACGATTTGAAAGATGTTCAAGAGCTCAAGCATCTCCGATCGCAACTCGGCATCACGGGGGCCAATGTCCCCTGATTCCGAGAACTGGAAACCACCCAAAGGTTTCGAATTCGCTGCATCGTCACTTATTGCAGGCTTACCAGAAGATGCTTCTGCAGAACTATCTGCCAAGAGTTCTGGAAAAGCTAGGGCGCCGTTCTCACCTGTAGTAACGGTAACCTGTGTCTGGAAGGAAGAAGAATGCGGAGATTGCAGGCTGGTCGGATTTATCGGCTTGGCTTCAAACGCGCTCTCCCACACTGAGAAATCAGCCAGCGCATTGCCGTAATCGTATATACGTCCATAGTCGTTTAATTCCTGTGACCAACCGGGTCCCTGCGCAACCGCAATTCAATTCATCAGTTCCTTGCTCAACAATGTCGCGTTCCTTCATCATGTTCCAAAGCTAGAGACAAAATACATTCCGAAACCCTAAACCCTAGATCCCGATGCAGACGTCTTGGCAAATGTGACCACATCACTGAACCCATGTTTTTAACCGCACAGATTCACTCAACGCCCGTATCAATTCAAATTAAAACATCATATTCTCCTCTTGTAATGACCACTACGCCGCATTTAAATTACAAATATCCACGCATCGGACCAAAAATTCCACTGTGATACATAAACCCTCATACACAGGTCGCTCTGTTCAAACATTTGAGAAGCTCGGCCACATCGAGTACATGTAAAAAGCAAGGGCAGAGGAATTAAAAGCGATTGGAAGAATAAACAGGGAAAAATCTCACCCGCACCTCATCAATGTCGCCCTCCAACAAATTTACGAAAGGAGCCACGTAGTCCTCCATAAGTTCCTCACTCATACGTTGATCATTTCAAACTTCAAATGTTGTACAAGAAGAACTCGAAGAAATAAGGTGGGTGTAGACTAAAGTGGACTCCACCCGACCCTCGGCCTAAAATCTTAAAACCCTAGAATTTTTTCCTTGTCCTTGCTCACATAGTTTGGATGTTCTTACAATTTTCTTTGCAACAGGCCAGTTTTCGTGTGCTTGGATGTCCAGTATGGGATTGCTGAATGCCAAAGCTAAGTCGTAATTAGATCACAGCCAATGTGCACAGCACTGCATACATCTACCGAGTTGTACAAGAAAACATTGACAAGCCAAGCAGGCACACGTTATGCAGACGAGCGATCCTTCAAGCATTACTCGACAGGCCCTTCTGAACAAAAAGGCAGGCTTGCAGACTGACCCAATCATCTATTTTCATTTTTTAACATTTTAAATAACAGAGCTATCCAACCATATTTTCCATACCAATTAAATATCCGACGGATATTTGGACATGACATGGTGATGTGGAGGCTATCATCTGTAAGAGTCTCGTCAAATCAGGAATGACTCCAGCAACCCATTCGTGGTTTAGCGTAGATGTTGCAGCAGGAGCCTATAATTGTGTCCAGTCTTTCGCAAGGCGGTTAGCCCAGTTGCGGGAAGAGAGCAAGCGGACTGTTCTATTGAGGTTCTATCTCGGAACTTGACTGACGCAATCAGTCATTCGAAAAGCTTTCGACAGGAAGTTTTCTGTAAATTGACTTTTGAAACACATTGTGGGATGCGGGATACCGTGTTTGTTGGGGCACACAGCAGTTGCGGTTCCAATATTGCTATCCAGCGGCATCACGTCTATGACCCGTAAGTATTGATTGCTCACCACCCATCACACCCTTCATGTGAGGAATATCAATTGCAATTGGGAAGTATTGCTTGTTTTGTTACTGGGGTCATTTGGCTCCCACGGAGGTGCCCGTGGTCGAATGCGACATGTGTGCATGTCAAGCTCTCCCGCTTAAGTATGAGCGTTTGATGCGTCGGAGCTTGTTATGCAGGTCTAGAAGACCCTGGTGGTTAGTTGCGCTTGGCACAGGACAATCACAAAGTTCGCAGCGCTTTCAGTTTCTTCCCTCTTCGACGTGGAAGTGTAGAACCATTGTCAGGTATGTAATTCGACATGGTCAAAAAACTTTGTACTCTTCTTTTTATTCAAAAGACCTGCAATCTTCATCGAATTACTCTTAGATTCAATGCTAGCGGCTTCGTTTGCACAAGTTCACGGATGTTGAATATGTGTTAGATGTTCACGATTGCCCCGAGAAGACAAAAAGAGGAGAGGAAAGGGTCTCATGCCCTTGATTCCTAAACAAGACACTCAACCTCCCTTGAGTCCTTCTACAATGAGGGTTTACGCAATCTCAGATCTTCACACAGACTATGAGGCAAATATGGAGTGGGTGAAGTGCCTTTCTTCTACTACATATCTGCCACACACGCTCATTGTTGCTGGCGATGTTGCAAACTCATTGGACACATTCACTACAGCGATGCGTATCTTGAAAGAGAAATTCCAGCATGTGTTTTTTGTGGCCGGAAACCATGATTTGTGGTGCAAAAGCACTGAAGGTGACGATGTAAGTAAGACGTCCCCATTGATGATGTTTCTCCCTGCTGAATACTCTCCGGAAGAGGTTGCATAGTTGATTACTTGGATTATTCTGCCAATTCTTAAGATTGCCGTAACACCTGAGATTAAGGTCGACTAGTAAACATTTTATTAAAAAAGAAATAAAAATAAAAATGCAAAATGTTTCTCCTTTAGATACTAAGGCTTGTTAGGTTTTCTTTGTTGTTGATTGTCAGGTGAATTCTGTACTGAAACTGGGCATGCTGGATGATACGTGCAAATCACTTGGTGTATATACAACTCCCAAGAAATTGAACGGGGTCTGGATTTATCCGATTCTTTCATGGTATCACCAGGCAATGAATTGATGATCCCCTTCACCTTATGAACGCATGCTTCCATTCTTGATAGCTTGACAGCGTTATTAATAAGTTCGTCAGAAAATTTAGGCATGATGGAATACGAAGTGTGGGTTTGATGAGCTTGGCAGTTGTTCCACTGTCTTGCACTTGTAGTACCGACATTTTGTATTTTAACTCATTTTTTTACTTCGTGCTACAGAGTTTTGATAAAGAGAAAGACATTCTAGGGTACAATATTCGGCCACCACACAAGGTATTCTTACTGTTACTTCTAGGTAAATAGGCTGTATCTACAAGATCAGATGGAAACCTCAGAAATTATTTTTCGTAAGGACGCTACAAATTTTCACAGTATTATGTCCTGCATGCGACAAGTCTGCTTCCCTTATCCCTTACATTTGTTAGCTATCTCTCAAGTTTGTCTGATGTTTAGCTTGTCTGTATGCAGGCTGCTTCAGACTATCGACTATGCAAGTGGCCACTTCCGCTTGATGATATGAATGATGGATGTCTTGCGCGTTATTTTGACGAACTCAATAGGGAAGAGTTTCAAAGGGAAGTTGCGAAGGATCAGGAAGACTGTCAAATTATTACTTTCTCTCATTTTCTGCCTCGGTACTCGTTCATTACTCATTGCTGCCAATTCATAGTCTCTCATTTTGAGTCTTTGATTTAAAGTATGTTGCTCCTCGATTATGGCATGATAAGATCTCACGTTGGAACCATATGTTAAAATGGTAGAGGATTTGGAAGATGTACGAAAAGAGAATTTGTATATTACTACGCAGGTTGATGAGATCCTAACGATCACAAGCATTGAATGTTGAGTTTTTCAATGAATAATTCTGCACTCTTTTGATGACTGATTCTAACTATTATATGGATGATCTCGTGTGTAGGTATGAATTATGTCCAGAAAAGCGCATGCTATTTTATCCCAATCTACCGAAAATCACAGGCTCCGACTGGTTGGAGGCAAGGTTGCGCACTATACATGGACGTCACGGAAGTCCAACTGCATGCCATGTGTTCGGCCACACACACTTCTGTTGGGATGCAACCTTGGATGGTATCAGGTATTCCTCTTCCTTCAATGCTCAATTGGGGCCACTGTTATTGAATCAGTTTAACTACTTAAAGTAAATTCCTCGGAATTGAGTTGAATCAAGTGGCTTTTCTTACCTGTCTTCACTTCTTCACTCCTTATTTACTTCAAATTTCTATAATCAGTAATTCGGTTTACTTTCTCACGAACCAGGAATTAGTCGTCAAAGTGCTATGTTAATTATAGTTATATCCCGATCAGATGTATGCAGAATAAGTTAAATGAGTAATAAAGTAGGTAATATGAACATTCTAAAAAATGGTTTGTTGGCCATGCAGATACATTCAATCCCCTCTAGCGTACCCAAAGGAAAGAGAGAGGCGCATCAACGGAGGAGTAGATTGGTTGCCCTTGTGTCTTTACGATTCTGACAAGGGCGGTTTAGTGGAAGGTCCGCTGGACTGTCACTGGTCCAACTATTATCGTCTAAACCAAAGAGATCCAGACAACACAGAACTTGCACCGTGGGTAGCAAGTCGGTATCAACCAGTGGTAGCATCCTAAATGAAACACTCTACATGAAGTAGATGTGTAGTTGTACTTCAATTCTAGCCACCCAAGCTTGTGCACCAGAATGAGACAGGGCGACCTGCTGCCACTAGTTTTGTATCCATCCTAGTCCAACCCAATTGTTTTTTCACCGTCCAGAATGGTTGTAGCACTTCAACTGTATATCTGAAGATGTAAATTAAGTTATCATGTCCACAAAATCGCCGCTCACCCGACAGTTTTCAGATAAATATTAACTGCACTATTTGTCCGATGGGTTCCGGCCTCCAGGTTCACTGCACTGTATTTCCTTTTCTTCAATCATGCATCTCGCATTTCAACACTCCACACCTAAATTTGTTCCTGTTAAAATGTATCATGTTGCGTAGCGAATTTGTTGGTCTGGCAATTCGAACCTGAAAATTCTAAATTGAACGATGATTCTGAATCTGACACTACAAGCATGTTAGAACCCAAGTCCGAGTGAGAGGTGAACAAGTCTAGAACTATGTCAGAACCAGAACTCTGACTACGGGTAATATTCCCTGTGACATTTAACATCGTCAGGTAACGAGTAAGTTAGCCATATCCTGTGAACCTTACTGGGGTGAAATCAGCTTACATCAAACAAAGAAGCTCCAGATATTCTTGTCATTGGAATCTGCTCTATTCTTATCGAAAGTGCCCTCAGCACTGATTGTTCTTGTAAAGCATCAATCTTGTTTCCAGTGTCTTAGAAACTTGGAGAGTGTCTGGGGGCGTGGGGGTTGTTTTTTTTGTTGGGTTTCCATTACTTGTCCTGTCCATTACTTGTTCTGTACATAAGCTGAGGAAGTAAGGACCAGCGATGGACGACGGCAAGGTGCTCATTACGGGAGCATGCGGTTTTCTGGGCAATTTGTTGGCGACTCACCTCGCCTTATACCACCGCAATCTCATTCTTCTGGACCATTCTCCGCCACCATCCAACCCCGTGCCTGACGCTGAATATGTGCGTTGCTGCATTCCTTAACAGAATTCTCGTCGTATCTCTAGATGCAATTAATGATTCTACGCTCTAATTCTTTGCCATGTTGGGATCGGATGTGACGACGCCGTATGGATCGCAAGGGGTGTTTGATGGAATGGACGCGGATGCCCTTCTCTCCAACCCTGGTGTAGCCTGTGGAAAGTAATTGGAAGCTGATTCGATTGGATATTGGAATTGCGCCAGCACGAGCTTCTTCTTCGAAATACTCGATTAAGGGTTACACAATGCGTACTCGTTTACATGTTTGTTAACAATTCCCTGACGATGTTTGAAAGCATGTTTGATGGGGACTAATCGGGGAGATTGTAACGATGGAGCAGGTGACTGGCGACGTAGCTGACGCCAAGCTTCTCGAGAGCGTCATCACCGCAGATGTACACAGGTGTGGAAACATCACCCTGACCCATTGCTTCGATGCGGGGATGCTAAATTTTATGCCAAGCAATTCGTCCCTATCTTCTAACAAAAGAGGGAGTAATCTTTGCATAGGATATATCACTTGGCAGCGCTGGCTAGTTCAGGCTCGGAGGCCAATTACGAGTTGGGTTTAAGGGTATGGACCTCCTCGTATTGCTCGTTGATCTGTGGACAATTGGATGGAGCTACTTTATGTTACTTGCATGATTTGAAGGATATTTACTGATTCAGCCTTCTCTGCACAGGCGAACGTTGATGGAACGAGGGCAATTATCAAGCGGTGTAAAGATATGGGGCATTGCCCACGTTTGGTGTTCTCCAGTTCTGTTGCCGTTTATGGGCCCCTGCCAGCAAGTATTGTGGTAATGCGGAGCCGGATCCCTCAAACTTCCACTAGATATGTCAGGAGTAGCGGAACAGACAAGAGGCCATTCTCAAACCTGGCGCTAAACTCTTCATTCTCGCTTTGTCCATCGTGACTCGTTGATTACACTTTGCTTTCATAAATTTGTATGATTGCTCTAGACTCTGCAAATTATGTAAAGTATGTCCATAACTTTGTTATTGTGTATGAAGGAGGGAGTAGATGGAGAAACAAAGTTCACAGATACTACCACTGCATTTCCTCAGTCCTCTTATGGCACACAGGTGCACAAATTAACCCGTGGTTAATTGAATAGGTTTGTTATCTTTCTCGGGGCCTAACCCTGGAAACAGAAATAAGAGAATACTTGAAATAATGATCCTGAAGATGGAAATGTCTGAGATTGCACGAACGCATTTGTTTTCATGATCTGATAGTGCATCTTGATGCGCGTGAACAGAAATTGATTAGTGAGCTTTTGATAAACGACGCTACTCGAAGGGGCTTTGTTGATGGACGGTGTCTCAGGCTTCCAACAATTGTTGTCAGACCTGGCAGGTACGGAACAACCACTTCCAATTAGACGATTTTTGCAAGTTGTACATTATCAATCCTCCATGAAGATTGTTCTTTATTCATTGTTGATTTTAATTGAATACTAAAATGTTTCTCCTCCATAGTCCCAATACTGCAGCATCCTCCTTTTGTTCCTCCATCATTCGGGAGCCACTGAAGGGAGAAACTGCGGTTTGCCCTGTCGACCCAAGTTGGCCACTTTTCATGCAGGTGTGTGCAGGTTCTATTCCAGTTAGCTATTTAGGCGTTCTATTTGAGTATCCTTGTAGTTGTACGCCCAAAACTTAACCAATGTGTGTTATTTCCAGTCGCCAAGGACTGTGGTGCGCAATCTAACGCATGCCATGAGCATCGAGAGCTTGAAAGGAAATGAGCGAGCCATAACTCTGCCGGGCTTTACTGTGAGAAGTCTTCTTCCTACCTTTGATTGTGATTACTTCATAAACGATTGTTGATGATGTCGCACTGTTTGCTCTTCGCGGACTTAGATCAAGTATGGTACTATGCAGACCACTCCCAAGGAGATGGTAGAAGCATTGGGAGAGGTCGGTGGCGATACCAAACTGGTAAGCCTATTTAAACGTCTACAATCAAGAACTTTGATAATGTGTTGGCCTACTGAATTCCCGCAAGGTGACCCAAGTTGAGGCCATTTAATCAGTTTTTTAGGCTTCCAGAGACCTTCGCGATGGCTGAAAGGCAGAATCAGAAATTGAGGACTTTAAAATCTGTAAAGATATTTTATTTTACTTTATTGGCATGTCTGGATATTTCCTTTGCATGAATTGCGCCACCCACCGCATCTGTACTTGAGCACAGGTAATTTGGGAGCGTGATCCTGTCATCGAAAAGATTGTGTACAGCTGGCCGGGCTTCGTGGATACTCCTTTTGCCAACTCTCTCGGCTTCCATGTGGACAAGTAAGTGAATTGAAGCTTGTGTCTCTAACCTGTTCTGTTCCTTTCAAATTCTCATTGCGTAATTGCTGCTAAGTTAGAGAAAGCATAGAGACTTTCACAGAGTCTGGAAACGTGAAGTGGTACCGTATCGGACTCTGGACCTGATATCCCAAGCTTATAGAGCTCATATTTAAGGTCATGTTTGTGTGTAACACAGGAGCATGAAAGACATTGTGACTGCTTACATCGAAGACAATAAAACGGACGTAAAGCGGTTGAACGCCAAGTGAAGACTCTAACGCCAGGTTTGAGATCAAGTTGTTGCAAATGACAAAATGTAATATTATGAACCTTTAATAATAAATACCCGCTGTTTCGGTAATGTTATAATTGCTTATTTGACTTGTGGGTGCTGTTTCATAGTGGTTTAAATTTATATTTATACTGGTCTTGAGCCATGTCCAGAGCCTCACAGTCGTTGAATTGGATTCTGCTTAAAGATTAACTTGGATGACCATTTAGAAGACCAGGTCATACGAGTGCAGCTTCTAAACCAGTAGGGCAGGAAAGACTTGTTGGGTGCATGTAAATGTGCATCTTTGGAAATGTTTTAGATGGATTGGAAACGTACCGAAGTTTAACCTGTGATATAAATTAACCGTTCAAACAAAGAAGTGCTATTTTACTGTCTAGTTAAACAATAGTAAATTCTTTCTATAAAGAGGACTGCCTTTCGAAGGGAGTCAATAGCCATATAAATGTTAACAAAGGTTAAGGTTGTCACCTTCTGTTGGTTGCTAGCTAATACTTCCAATGATTTCATACTGCCAGTCTTCTACATTGACACATTGAGGCAAAAAAAAAAATTGCATTGCTTTTCTTTTGGTTAGTATGCTCTTAAAACAAGCTTCAAAAAATCTTTAATAACAAGTTATTATCTTCATTGATTTTAAACATTGAATTTGTGGCAATACCACATGCAGGCAAATTTGAGGTTGAAATTGTTACATCTGATTGGTTGGTTTTTAAAACTAACTTAAAAACTCTTCACTAAAACCTAATATTGGTTGTTTTTAAAGAAGTATTATTTTTAGAATATTGTATTGTGAAATTATTCCATTGGACATTGGTTTCTAAGTGTAAATTTCAGTTAAATAAGTCAAGAATTGTGTACATGTTAATAAACAGTACAATTATACTATGTTGATTTAAATAATTTCCAATGTCATCATAAAGTTTCGAAGGGGCAATTTATAATTAGAAATTAAATTATGGCACATTTTATATTTAATCTTTTGTTTCCTTATATAGTAAAATTTTAATTCTTTGATTTTAAATGTTTTAATTTATGTAAGAGTTAGAAACTTATTTAATTTTGCGTATTAAATTCATTTTTTGAAAACATTTATTAAATATTTCTTTATTAATAATAAACTTTAAACTTAAAAAAAGAAATTATATGCTTCAAACCAACACAAATTAAATTTGATACTAATTTTAAAAATAGTTCTAAGATTGAAAATTAATAAGTTAGCTTAGAAATATTCAATGATATATTTTTTAAGATTCAAGTTTGATTCATGTTATAACTTTGATACATTACGAAGAATAAAGAAATGTATCAAAATATTTTTATTCTAAGATTTAGATGCAAAAAAAATTACAATACTAAAGTTGATTTTTTTTTAGTTGTTAATACAATAAAAACTTATCATTAACAATAATTTGTTAATATACTTAAATCTTAAATCAATTCACCTATTTCTCAACTTAATCTATCTTCTATGATTCAATCTTTGTGACTACTTTTTTGAGACAAGACCAGACTATCTCAAAAATCCAAGTTCTTTCTAATCCACAGCAACATAAAGCCTCATCACAAAATAGGACAAAACTGATTAGAACAAAACTGAACAGAACTAAATAGAATAGAACATGAAAGACAAAACTAAGCAAATGGAAACAAAAGTGAACTGAACAAAAAGATGCAAAATCAAATTTTACTAAGGAAAAGGATCCAAAGCCATACTTGATCAAATGCTCCAAAAGGCCTTGGTGACTCTTATTTATACCTTAGAATGTTCTTAGGTGATAGGCCCCATTAAAATAACTACCTTAAATTCCTTTTCTAGAAGGTTTTATGGTAGGCTCCACCTATATAACCGCCCTAAGTCTTTTCTAGAAGGTTCTATGGTAGATCTGATCTAAATAATCATCCTAAATTTGTTTTAGAATGTTCTACAATGGATCCCATTTGGTCCACTAACCTAACTTCAATTTTAAAAACTTCCATGATTCTAACTATCTATATAATTATCTTATTTATATCTTGTTATAGTTAATCTTCTTCCTTTAATGCAAAATGTCCTTGTTTTGCTCCAAATGGTATCTTTGAATTGTTTCTTGGTAAAAGGGAGGTTTGTGCAGGTTCTTATGTTGCATCATGAATGCGATAACCTTTCCAAAGAACTTTGTACTGAAGTTGTGGATGTCTACTATCATGATAAAAGTAGCAATGTTCTAAAATGTTGTCTATTTCATATTCTTGTTGGTCATCAACTACAACTAGTAGTGGTGGTTATTAGTATCGATCTAAAAAGCACTTTGGCTCAATATGAAATTCCTTTACTTCCAAAACATGAAAGATTAGATAGACGCAAATATGTGGCAAAAGCTCAAGGTAGTATGCGACATCAAAAATCATTGTAGAAATAGAGAAAGGTCCAAGTCACCGAGGTGCTACTTTATGGATTTGGATTGATGTAGCAAGTGGCAAGTTGGCACTAGAGAGTAATACTTAATCACCCTCCTAGAAGGTCTTGTGTTTTCGATAATTATCCGTTGTCATATAGCGTGATTTACTATCTGGGAATACATTGGGTATCTAGCTATAGAAAGTTTAGCTTAAATTTTTATATGTATCTTGTCTTAGCTTCCAAAACTCTTTTATTTTGCACAAAATTCAAAATATAGCATAATCTCTTTAAAATATATTTTTTCCGCAAAGGATTTTCTCTTCCCAAACTTTAAAAATTCATAACTCTTGATCTAACCATTCAGTTTCTTTCAAACTTGTAGAATAGGTAGAATTTATCCTTAAGTTTTACTTCAAAACAAACCAACATGAAAATCATTCCATCTTTTGGCATCTAAGAAACCCTAATAGATACTCTAAATCCTAATTTACAAGCACCTGAGCAATATTTTCTTAATATCTCAAGAACCCAATACTCAAATGTCATTAAACTTATGTACAAAGGTTTATTAACATAAATTTATACATTTCCTAAAATTTTGAGCCAAAACCTTGTCAAATTGCTCAAGATATAGCTCAAGACACAACCACTAGTAAATCGAGTCACTTACTACTCTTAGATTGCATGTGCTGACTTCAAAATCCAATAACTCTTTCATTGTTACTTCGAATCTAGCAAGCAGTATAAAAAAATTATAGCCGCAAAAGTGTTTTTTCTAGTTGCGGTCGCCCATCCTCAATTACCCCCCGCACGCGTGCATTCTGTCAAAAATAGTGACAGTAGCTCCAAAATCAACACCTTAACTTTGAGCGCCTATATCTTCTTTATATAAACTTTAAATCATACAAGATTTCTACCAAAACCATAGCGAAAAACCTAAAATTACTGATCTTAGCCTTCAAAGCTCAAATGGCCAATAGAGAATTGCAAGCAAAATTGGATGTTGACTAGTATTAAGAAAAAAATGGTAAATAACCAGTACTTTCTTGAATACTATCATTGTAAGCAAACTCCAAGGGCGACAAGTATTCATCCCAATCATTATGATGAATCACCACAAATACTCGCAGCATATCTTCCAAGGCCCAATTTATACGCTTTGTTTGTACATTTGTTTGATAATGGAAGGCTATAGACATAGCAAGTTATGTGCCTAGTAGCTTGAACAAGGCTTGCCAAAAACTTCTCATGAAGTGTGAATCTCAATCTGAAACAATGACACGAAGTAATCCATAGCGATGAAAGATGGTATCAAAGAAGACTCGTGCAAGCGTTGGGGCATCAATATCCAAGCACATAGTGGGCAAGAAAAGTTGCTTTGATAGTTCATCCATAAAAGAAGTACTACAATATAATTATGAGGCGTTTGCAGCAAATACGTAATGAGATCTATAGTCACTTGCTCCCAATATGCCATAAATAGTAAAATTGGCTGCAATAGTCTAGGAGAAGTTTTATTCCATACTTTATCATCTTGATATAACTCACAAGAAAGTACAAAGGCTTGAACATCATGATCCAAACATGCCCAAAACCATATCTTTGAGATCCGTTTTACAGTCTTTTCTTGCCTAAAATATCTAGATATTGGGATGTCATGTCCCTCCTGAAGTATGCGTGTCTAGAATTTAGCATTGTTGAGTACATAAATTTTTTTTAAAAAATAGAACAAGCCATCATTAAGAATGTAATCTTAATATTGTATATTATCCACCTTCAGTCGATTGCTAACCATCTTAAAATGAGCATCCTATTACGTAGCTTCTTTCATCTTTATCTCTTTGAATAGATTTGAAATGATACTACTAATGGTAGCAATTTTTGTCTTGTCTTTTGATTTTTCTTTCAAGTTTGGTCTTTTTGATAAATTGATTGGAACAATATGTTGTCGCCCTTGTTCATACTCAAGTTGGATATCAATAAGCTACAATTATTCTTCTCAACAATGATGTTGCAATTTCTTATTTTCAAGATATAAATCATGTAGCAAAGATCGATGGTCAATCCAAACAACCATTGGCTTCTCTAATAGATAGTATTGCCACACCTTTGTGGTATGTACAATCGCTAATTACTCTCAATCACATGGAGAGTAATTGTGCTCTACCTTTTTGAGCTTATGTGATTCATACGCCATAAGTTGATGGTCCCTACCAAAGTCATATTGAAGGACTACTCCAATAGCAAAGTTGGAAGCATCAATGTTAAGCATACAAGGGAGATTAGGATCATATAGTTGCAATATTGGAGCAGTAAATAGTGCTTCCTTCAACTTATCAAAGGCATTTTGCTACTCCAATTTCTAATCAAATGGAACACTTTTCTTCAATAGGTTTGTCAATGAGGTAGTAATGTGAGCAAATTGCCAAATAAATTGGCGATAGTATCTAATAAGGCCTAAAAATGAGCAAGCTTTAGAAATATCCTTGAAGGTTGGCCAATCCTCCACTATTTTCATCTTATTTTTCTCCACATGCACACCTTCGAAAGACACCACATGCCTCAAAAAGGTGACTTCCAACTTCCAAAGTTTAAATTTTGATTGCTTGCAATAGAAGTGACTATCTTGTAGCTGGCGCAACACTTTTCATAGGTGTTGTTCATGATTTTAAGGGATTTTATTATATACAAGGATATCATT